GGGGCAGACGGGAGTCCTTTGTCTTTACCTCCCTGAATCATAAGTGCGACTCTAATAAGAGGAACCAAATTACCACAGGGAGGAGGTTTAAACAGTCAGTTAGTGCAAAGGGGGGGGGCATCCTGGAAATCATCTCTAGCTAACAGACATGTCACGCAACGCAGATGACACGCTTGCACACCCATCACTCTGACACACGGCCGTGATGCACTCAAAGAAATGCACCTCCCTCACCCCCACTGCGGGGCACCCAATGAGCCTGACACATGACCTCACTGCCATTTACCACGTGGACAACAGCAGAGGGGCAAAAAAGCAGCATGAGCAATATCGGCGGGTGGCAATCCTGCTTCAAAACGGCCACCCCGGGTGACACTCTGAAATAGCGAGCCTTTTCATCCATCAGGTCATGGCCTTCAAGCAACACAAAGCTAGGAGGCTCTCTCGTTACCGGCCTCCCATGTCTGTCACCCAGCTCCATACTGTGGGACCAATCCTATCTTCCATCACAACGGCATTCATGTATCTTCTCCTATAAGGTCCCATTAACTCACACTTCAGTCATTAAGATGATCAGCAATGCAGAGAATCCTGGCTTCTAACTACAGGGTGTTTGTGCTACCGAGTGATTTACACCAGGTTTCAATATTCACAGGGCATGAAACAAGCAATAATCACAAAGACGAAAAAGTCGTATCTAATAACATGCTAATCGAGGCTGAAGTCTCACCGCACTAGTGAGGAAAGGTGCCTCTACGTCACAGCACTGATATCAGTGGCGTCTTTAATAGGTTGAGGTGTTTCATTAAAAGCAGCCCCTCCCGCCTGCTAACCCGTGGAGCTCCGGCAAAATCCAGGACTAGATTTAATGAAGCGTTCTGAGAAAACCTGTGTGGAACCCTCCCTGGACGAGGGGCGCACAGTTGTAAATTACGGTCCAATGGATGGCGAAGATAGCACCTTGCGGGCCGGCTAACTGTCAGCCGTTAACGACGCTAGACCATTTTTGCAGAAGTGGGAACTGTTTGACTACAAAAACAAGAGAGATAGGGTAAATGAAGGAAATCCAAGTGTCAGAATCTCCTGTCGCTAGTTTGGAAGGTGGGAGATTTCTGGTAGAAGTCAGAAGAGAGAGTATAGCAATAAAGGAAAGAAATGGTCAACACAACACACTCTGAAGGCAAGGTTTACTGCTGTGATAAAGCTAAGAATGGTACGATGGGCCAATTAGAAAGTAAAGTGTAATCGCTAATCAGTTGACACAGGAAAGTCAAGGACAGGCACTGTAAGAAATTAACAAGTTACAGGGAATAATTAGGTGACCGTGGGTACTCATCTTAATGAGTTTATCTGCTGGGTTCACTAGAACACATTTAGCAGTCTTTAGTCCTGTCATTGGCCATAAAACACAACACCCATGGCTTCTTAAATTACATAAGCCATACAAAGCCTTTTATTTCTCAGAGCCATGGGCTCGTGGCTTTCACTCTACATGCCTGGCATAACCCAGAGGTGAGAGAGGACCAGGCTGATGCATTATTTGGTTTTTTTTTTACTAAGACTCAGAAAGCTGATGCTTGCCGCTGCACACCGAGACATTTCTGACTGTGTTTCAGTTTTCAGGCTTCCAGTCACAAGGTCAGTTCCCATAATCATTAATGCACGATGCTGTGATACATGGGTCACACTAAAATCGTGTTGCCACAGCACAGCTGCAAAAGCGACATGTGGGAAAGCGGCCAGTTTTGCATGTGTGCCTGCTATTTAATATTAATATTTACCACTTCACACCACAGTACATACTAAAGGCAAACATGACCTTCTCCACTCACACCACAGCAGGTAACCTGATGTAAGCACACGCCTATGAATGGCATCTTTTATAAGCTGCATAACCTGGACATCAGCATTGACCTGGATGGAGGAACCATTTAACTCATGAGTAGCTTCTTTTCAGACTTGCACAGGTCAGATCTGACCTTTTTTGACAACTTCTGACAGATCAATCCAAGTCAGAATGGGAGGTGAATTCTTAGAGGTGTTGCAACGCTTAAAATCCCCGTTTTATGGAACACCGAATGTCACGATGGGAAAATGGGCTTCATAGAAGCACAGCATCCCGTACAACAATTACTTATGTTTTGTGGAGCAAGTGGAATGCAAGATATCTCGATGCGTGTGTTCCAAATTAAATAAAATTAAATCTGAAGACACATTGGAGAGAAAGTATGTTTAAATAGTTACATTTTATTATCTGAGCTTAATGAAAGACGACAATGTGAGCAAATCTTTAGCCATCCCCGCATATATAACATAAAAAAACCCACAGAGGACCATAGCTGTGGAAGGACTCAGAACAAAAGCAGAAGTAATTGTTTAAAAGCTGGGGGTAAAAAACCGTTCATATTTTCATATCACACCTGCAGCTGCGGTTAGGAATAGTGGGAACACGATGTACCTTTATTAGCTGCATACTGGAAGGTACCTGTGGTGGGAATGGACCCGCCGTTTAACACGTCTGTGTGCGGGCTACCGAGCCAGCCAACAACCCACCCCACACACGGGAGTCTGTCCAAAAGCGAAAGTTACTACGAAAGTACAGCGAAACTCCCGGACAAGGACTAGCCACCGAGGCGAATCCTATCCGGGGTCAAAACCCGTAACCGTAAAACCGGTTCGTTTCTGTACCGGACCCGTCCGGTCCAATCCGGCCCGGACAGGTCCGGTTTCCTCCGGTGTCCCGCAGCTGGAGACTTAAAACGGACAGTGGGCGCACTGACCTCGGGCGGACCGCGGCTGCATTTCGGGGACTTCAAGTGCAAGTTATGCGATTTTTTTTTTTTAAAGAAACTGAACAAGAATCAAAGTGACACGGTAGGTAATTAAACGTGCTCGGCTATTTACTCATTTCTGGGGACTATGGTGCAGCGAAACCCCCAAGCAAGCAGACAGCTGTTTTACTCACCTCGGTCTTGGTGATGCGGTGTCTCGCCAACTTCACCACGGCAAAATTGCCTTTTCCTAAAGTGCGCTCGATATCGTAAAAACCCACTCGGACCGGACCCCGGTGCGCTGGCTTTAGGTGACAGTCCGCCATGACCATGCTGTAATTGGGGTTGGAGGGTGGCGAAGTGGTTGGGGTGGGGGGGTACCTCAGGAGTTCCAGCCACCTAACGTGGGTCAGTTAGACAGGGAGGGGGGACTAAAATAAAAACATAAACCCTACAGTAAAAGATTAACTGTTTTAAAACGTGTAGGTTAAATGATCCCGAGGTAACTTGGACTACCCTGGGCGCAACTCAAAGAAGCGCAAAATTAAAAAAAAAGAAAAGGAAACCTCGCGAACGCGGACTCCCGACGAGCTCGGCGGGTCCGTCACATCGCTCCGTCCCCGGCACAAAAAAAGCGGAGGGGAAGCGAAGGGAGGGCGGACAGCACGCCGACCGTATCGCTCACGGCCCCGCCGGCTGACTGGCCGCAGGACGCGCCGCGCTCTCAGCTCCGCGCGCATTGACGTCAGAGCCGCTGGGGGTATTTGCACAGGGGGCGGGGCATTTCGGAGCGGCTCCACAGCTCCCTGCCAGCTCGTCTCCAAGACAACCAGATCCGCCTTTTACGTCAAACGGCGAAGCTACTGCAATCAGCTGTCAGTGCGCTCGCTTGCCCGACCGGCGTAAATATAACACACATTAAGCATATACAGTGAAGAGACGCTGTAAAAAAAAAAAAGCTTTCAGTAACGTTAACGTTCAGTTACGTGGCTAAAAGGAACGGAGATGGGGGGGCGCGTGCCCTTGCGATTTCGTTGGCTTTGAAGTCTCAGGAACAACTTCGTAAAGCATTATCCAAGCAAATGGCAAAGCACCAAACTTTTGCATCGATGTCAAACGAAAATATTGCATTTTGTGTGTTACATTAAGTAAATTTAAATTTTATATAAAATAAAACGTATAAATCAGGTGACTGATTACTTTCAATATTGCGGAATGAATTACTAGGGCACTGATTAAACATAGCACAGCATTATTTCGTCAGACTTAAAATACGTCGTTTTAGTTGTATTTCTAGCCTGAAATTTAGGAAAGCTTATTTTTCCAGTGTTGCAGAAGGCTTGCCTGATGCAACGATCTAATCTTCTCAAGGATGTGTACTCCAGAAATACACACGGAATATCGCTGGTCTTTGTCTCGCACTACAGCAATGAAGCAGCGTCATCTGCTGTCTGCTTTGACTGCGAGGAAATGGAAAAATGGCAACAGTGGACAATGGAACAGCTCCTCGCCGCTGAAAATTTAAGCACAAAGGATGCATAGAAAATCAACAGTTCTGCAAATAAAATTGCAAATATTTCAATTTCTCTGATTATGGGCACGCACGCGCACACGCATGATATTCGAATAGCGCTACAGCTACGGCACGAAAGGAAATACTTCGGGGAGATCGCGCTGGAAAGTCCCTCTTACTGTTACGTTTCCTACATGTGTGTTCCAGATGTGCTTCCACCATTCCCGCTACATCCTCCTCCAACGCACGCGGTGCCCCCTGCGATTCCTATAATTACCTTCTGAAAAATACCCAATTTCTTCCTTTGGTGCATGGAAAGGGACACAAAAGGTTCCCAGGAGAGGATCGCAGCATATCGCCAGATAAATCAGAGCATGAGGGTAGAGTTGCAGAGGTGACCCCCATCAGACCATCAATGTCATTGTATATCGATATGTTTGCACAACATGTTATAAACATATTATCGATATTATTCCAATTATGCAATCTAACACCGCGCATTGCCAAAAATCTGTCTGGTGGAAACAACGGGGTGCAGACTCATTGCCATTAATTTGTTGTTTTGGGTTAAAGTTATTTCTGCATACGTAACAGATAAGTCTCGTCAAATTTGGCTGCCAAATGAACAAACGTAAACCGACAAGGAAAATTCGCAGAGGAAGTTATAAACTCATCTCATATTTCCCGTCAGCTTTCATTAACGGACAAAAGCTTGGTTTTCCCTCTGATTTTATACATTGGTTTATTGAGGTCTCAAATGCACAACTTGCATCATAGCAAACACATTCCAATATCAATATGTAAAAAGTGCAGGAGTCTGTATTAAGAGCAGCCACCATTCAGGCAAAACGATTTCTATACGGCTGTGTCAGTGAGGCTTTTCAGCAGTGACCCTACCTGTGCAAATGCGTTAGAAAGAAGCAGAAAAATAGTCCATGCAAACCTAGCAGGAGCTCTGCTGACACCTGTTTGCCCAGAATTTACTGAATTTAAAGACCATTTATTTCATCAAGGGTCCGATTCAGCAAGCAACTCCCGCTGGTGTCGGAACAGTCATGGGAGATGGGAAAGCGGACTTTGGGCCAGAGTCGCGCATTTCTACTGAAGAGCGAGTTCCATTTCCATCTGAAACATCTTTGATGCAGAAAGGAATCCGACGGGACCAATCGGCTTGCCTTCTCTGTCGGGAAACGACCGGGTGATTGTATCAAGGGGCTCGTGACAGGCGTGTTTTGGCGGCGAGAAGCGAATCGTGAGAGATGTTAGTGTCGGCGCCGGCCTGCCACATCAGCTCTCCGACGAGTTTCTCCAGATATTCTGGCCCCTGCCTCCGCACAGGAAATCGCTGGGGGATGAAGGCCGGCGGGGGGGGGGGCTGACCCCCTCCAGCCCACCACTCCACAGGAGTTGGAGCAGCGTGGGCGGCCTGTAGCTTGCTCCAGAGTAGCCAAACGTATAGAGAGCTGCTACACTCGGCGGGGGGGGGGGCTGTTGTCTGGAAGGATGGAGTATGGAGCTGGACATGGGACATGGGTCATGTGTGGGGGGTGTCAGGACTAGGATCTCTAATGGCTGTCATCTCCCCCCCAAGCACCTTCACCACAGCTCAGTAGCTGTAGATCTCGTTCTCCACCCATCCAGCCTCGCGACAGTAGCGGCCCCTACTCTGGCACGTCTCGTAGATGTCGTTGGTGACGAAGCCGCTCTCCGTGCTGGCCAGCGTCACAAAGCCACTTTCCGTGTCCCTGCCCGCCAGGTTGTCGTAGTCGCCCGGGGGCGTGTCTGGCGAGGAGCCCAGGAAGGAGGTGTTCTTGATATCGGGGCGTGTGCTGGCCAGGTCGGCGTCTTGCTGCTTGCGGATGACGTTGTAGACGTCCGGGCTGGGGCTGTTACAGCGGTCTGCCCAGTATCCCATCTCCTTGGGGCAAGCTCCTTCGGTCTGCTCTTTCCTCCTACGTGAAGACAACCGCAGTGAACACCCCGCAGCCATGCCCAGATGGAACCACGGGACCTTACACAGCTTGTCACATGGCGTCGTCCTTACTTTCTGGACAGCAGCTTGAAGCAGAAGACACCAAGGGCTACCAGCAGCAGCAACAGCAGGGGGAGGGTAGGGAGCACGATGTACATGATATTTAAGGCATTGTCTGAAAGGGAATAGGTCACACAGGTGTCACAAAATGAACGGCAGGATCTATACGATTACATCTCCAGCCAACATGCTCTTTACATCTCTTTACATAGCTGGCAATTGTCATCAAAAAGAGCAGCCCAATGTACAGACAGTGCTTTATAAGGCCACAGTAACCTTAATTAAAAGAAGAAGAAGAAAAAAACAATACAATGCAAAACATGTCTGAATGTGTAGCATAGTATTTTGCAATTTTGGCTGCTTGGATTGTGCTTATATCCAGAATGACACTGAATTTAGCTTTTTTTATTATTTATTTATAAAACTGGATATTTTACTAATGCAGTTAAGTAGCTTCCAGGCTCCTGGGACAAGGACAAATGTGTGTCCCTAACCACCCTGATACCTACTGCCAGTTTGGACCCGTTGATAGAGTTAAAAAAAAAAAAAAAGAAAGCAGAATAGTGTGAGCTATTGTTTGCAGAGCTTCATTTTTGCCGGATTTTTTTCCTCAGCATGTCTCTTTCCAAATAAAAAGTGAATCCATTCGCTTTGATACCTGTCGGGAGCTTTATTTTAATTTCACTGTCGGCCTCTGTGACTGAAGTATATTTCGGCTTCGGGGAAACAGCTGGGGATTCTGCGAAGGGATCAACAAGCAAAACAAGTGCTTATACAACTATTAACATATAGGAGAAAGACTTTGCGGAATTGATGCTTTAAAACACAGGCTCTCTCCGGGTTACGATGGGCTTGCATTCCAATAAACCTATCGTAAGGCAAAAACATCGTAAGCGAAAATGCATTTAATACAGTACACCTAACCTAACAATCATCACAGCCTAGCCTATATCTTACCTTAAACATGTTTAGAACACTTACATTGGCCTACGGCTGGACAAAATCATTAACACAAAGCCTATTTTATAATGAAGTGTTGAATATCTCATGTAATTTATTGAATAATGTACTGAAAGTGAAAATCATTTACCCATCATGAAGTCGAAATATCGTAACACGGACCATCGTAACCCAGGGAGCGTCTGTACATATAACATGAAAATCATTTGAATGTATTGTTTAGATGTTCAGTACGGTAATATCCTGGCAGAGATTTCAAGTAATTTAATTATGGAACTGGCTGTATCCTGGAAAGCAGTTCTGCCTTGATTGGTAGGACATCTACAGTACAGTATATTAAGAGAATATTTAACTCAATTTAGCCAGCGAGACATAAAACATTCCCTCATAAGGACAAAGGGCCTTATATAACAGCTCAATACAAAGTGAAGGAGGAAGCTATCTGTGTTACTATCTATGGCCACAAGGTGTCCTCACTTCCACAAACTCGCATAGACAGGAGACTATCTGAGATGGTGGGCTTGAGAAAGCTAAATGGGAAATTAAAGAGCATTCATCTGTCCCCAGCCGTGACAGGTCTTTGATCTACACGGTCTGCCGGGCTGTCACAATCCACAAGCAGGAAACACATTCTGACAGGGGTATGTGACCCTCGGGCTCATACGTGACGCATCATCCAGTCGCGGTAACACAACACACTGCTGGGGCAAGAAGCAAGATAAAGCTCCCAGTTCTGAAGGGGAAGGCGAATTTTTACCTGTGTTTGTTGAATTTCCTATAGCCGTGGGAACAGGCTGTTTCTCTGGAAATGCAAACATTCTATTACTCATCTGCTTAACAGTCAGTCACCTTCAGCTGGCATCTGTAATATAACTATTTGCTGTGGAGCATAATTAGTGAAACAGATCAGGTTAGGCATTAATCGACCGTGAAAAACAACATTCTTCCAAGACCTGTCCCAGTAACCCAATCCAAAAATCATACTCAATTCATTTTCAATTGTCACAATTTTCTGAAACACTATGTGAAAGAAATTGAACAATACATGTTGCTAAGTGTAAAATCTCTGTTTTTTCCCCTCTGGATCCAAAAATGAACTTGAAGCACCAGCTGACCTCGAGAGTACTTGCAGATGAAGTTGTTCTTGGTGTTACAGTTGTCGTCGTTCCACTGGAACATGTAGAGGCCACCGAGGCCTGGTGGAGCTGAGGGCTGATGGTACATGACCACACACACCTCATACCCGCACGATGGCTCGTCCCAGTGCCAATTCCTGCAACACGTGCACAAACTCTGTTCAGTGACTGCCGTGACAGTGCTGACGTCCCTGTGCTCAACTGCAACGTGATCAGACCTCAAATAAGACCAACCAGTCTTTCTGAGATTAAAATGAAGATGAAAGTTACAGTTCGGCCAGTAGCACTGCCGTCTTATCCTTTGGGATTGCAGGTCCTGATTCAAATTTTGTGTGTGATTCGCAGTGTTTCCCCAAGTTACGCATTTTGTCCCCAAATGTAAAGACAAACAAGCAAGGTTAAATGATGACTCTAAGCTGCAGTGGTGTGTTGGTAATAGAGGACAGCAGATATCTTTCATTAAGGATGTGGCCCTGAATATTTTTGCTTCAAGGCAGACCTTAAGAAAACAACTTAACTTGAGTTGCTCCAGTAAGTAATTCAACTGTATAACTGGGTAAAAATGCTAAGTGGGGAAACTTGCTTTGGAGAAAACCATCAATTAATCAGCAGCATTTAACATATAGTGCTTTTCCACTGGCATACAGGAACCAGGCTGTACCCAAGCCGTACCGCAAAACACAGTAGTTTTAGCATGGTTACAACTTGCTTCAGTTTTCCACTGCAGAAGGGTCAGTTCAGTAAAGGTGTTGTTGGGCTTGGAGAGTGAAAGTGACATAAAACCAAAGAGACTCTTATTTACTGTTTAGATGGTGTACATCTTGCTTTTCTATGTGCTAATTTCCACTAGCATGTCTGTGAGAATCGCCATGTTATGTTAGCATCAAACACTAGCAGAATTAGCATTAGCCTGCATAAATTTGCACTACAAATCCTTTCCGTTCAGCAGTTCTGTAATACTTTTTAAAGTAGGTGGTTGGAAATTCTCAAATTCCGAGTTATGAGGAATGTATCAATACATCATGATCTGCGATACCACTAATAATTAATCGTATAGAATATGGCCTTTTTTCCTTCAGGTAATCCATGCATATCGATGCAGATCACTGGTATCTCCATGCATTTCAACCAATCAGGTGGTGGCAACTACACCAGCCCTGTGTGTCATGATTCTGGCCATGTCAGTTTGAGCATTGGTTGGGTGCGGCTCACATAATTTACAGTGCAATACTGTCTCTTCATGATACGGCTCGAGTATCTCGGGTACGATTCGGTTCTTGGTGGCAGTGGAAAAGTACCAACAGTGTGGTGGTATATGTATGTCCTGCATGACCTTCCTCTCTGAGCTGTATCCTGTACCCTACATTTCCCCAGATTCTACACTTTCCCAGACATGGTAAGGCTTCTTATTATTGAAAATAGTTCAAATAGATGGACTACGACCAAAGTTACTAGCTAGTGGTCAGTGGACATCGCTATTAACCAGCACCTGCAATTCCGCATAGATCGAGCTTGGGACATCAGATTCGAATCAAAGTGAGAATCTTGCAGTTGTTGTTCATCACATTGAGTGTAAGTTATCTACACTTTCAGAAAAAAAGAGTACCAATTTATACCTTTGCTTGTCACTGGGGCTGTATCCTCAAGTGTCTGCCAGTTGTACCCTAGCTGAAAGTAAATGTACCTTTTAGTCTAATTTAAGGTACAAATGGATTCTGAGGAACATCCCCAAGGTGCAAACAACATTAATGTACCCCTGATGGTACAAAAATGTTCCTCATAGTCCAATTTACCTATAGGGCACAGCGCCAGTGACAACGAAAGGTACAAATTGGTACTCATTTCAGACAGTGTACACTGTCAGAAAAAAAGGGTACAGCCCAGGTGCAGGTTTGTTCCCCAAGGTACAAACAACATTAATGTACCCCTGATGATACAAAACTGTTCCTCAGAGTCCATTTCTGTACCTTAAATTAGACTAAAAGGTACACTTACCTACAGCTAGGGTACAATTGGCAGACCCTTGAGGGCACAGCCCCAGTCACAGGTAATTGCACACTCAAAAGGTACAAACGGTACCTTTCTCCTGACAGTGTTGTGGATGTTATGGGGCTGTTTCGGACCTGAAGGTGGCCTTGCTGCCATCCAGCCAGTGGTACTGCTCCGGGCAGTCACTGCTGGCCTCCTGTGAGCTCTGGTCCCGGCGGAGGCCGATCCAGAAGTCGCCGTCGGTGGCCCGCAGTTCTTGGATGAAACTCTGGATGAGGCGCTGCTCGCTGTCTGACTCGATGCTAAGCAGCTCGCCGCCGTCGCTGTGGCAGGCCTGGTTCGCCTGCTCAAAGTTCACCTTGCGCCAGCTGTCCTGGAAGTAGGCGATCTTGTAGCAGGGCCGTTCCGTGCCACGCCGGCAAATCCTCTGACCTGCCGGGGATCGTTGGGTTGGAAGGGTCAGAATGCAACTGTCATATGAGGTGTCCCAATCTGAAGATTCTAGAAGAGCACATGGGACTCGACGCCCCCCCCCCCACCCACATAACACAAAGCTAACTTGTGGTGTACATAGAAAATATTCATGACAGGGGCATAATCTGCGTCAAAGCTCCAAAAGCAGTATGTAGAAACCAGATAAAACAATCATGACCATAAATAGCCTAAGTATGTGATTTCATTGTTTCATATTTCAAATACCCAGTTCATACAGATTCATTGTATTTTTTTCTAAAGTATTTGGTAGTGCTGTAGTTCTCGAGACCGGTCTTGGTCTCGAGACCAATTTTTTGTGGTCTTGGTCTTGTCTTGGTCTCGACTCTATTTGGTCTCGGTCTTGTCTTGGTCTCGACTCTATTTGGTCTCGGTCTTGTCTTGGTCTCGGACATAGCGGTCTCGATGGGATGGGGAAAAAAAAGAGAAAACTGCACATCCTCACAGAACAGTATCATTATTTATTACGCGCCTCAATTCAAATGCAACCAGTCAGATGCATCCATTTCAAAAACATTACATTTTATATATTTTCTTCACGGACACTGCCAGTGCTTCACAGTCCACACACATCATACACATCGTATCATACATCGGCAAAGAAATGTCCGAAAATGTCCACGAAGTCTATAGCATAGTTATAATTCAAATAAATTATGTATTTTACATTGATTAGAAAGCACGGTCTTGGAGGTGCAAGTCAATCTGGAGGCTCATTTTCTTCAATTCAAAGCAAAGGATCATTACATAGCCGTATTCATAGCTTACCCGAGGCCTCTGTCCCTGGTATAAGAGACTTAATATGAACATCTTTCTGGTATATCCCATCTCTTTCCCTTGACGAGGTCTGATAAAATGGTTATAGGAGAGGATTGCTGAGAATATTATTTTCCATCAGGTCTCGTAACTATGACAAATCTGGGAGATTTTAAATGAGAGACATATGGACATATGGACAATATAATTGAAAAGATAACATGAATTTGATTTAACGAGTAATGACACTTTACAACAATGCCTTTTTTCTCTACAGTTGATCTGGGTAATGTGATGTCGATTCTAGCCCTAGTCTGTTTTCGGTCTTGGTCTTGGTCTCGACCAGTCTTGGTCTTGGTCTCGCCTTATTGTGTCTTGGTCTTAGTCTTGGACTTGGTCTTGGTACCCTCAAGTCTCGGCAGTGTCTTGGTCTTGATACCCTCCGGTCTCGGCAATGTCTTGGTCTCGGTTTAGGCGGTCTTGACTACAACACTAGTATTTGGTTTCCTCTCAACTGGGTAAACCATTTAGGCATTTCGTTAATTATGTTTCCATTTGTGTCCCGTAAACCGAATCCGCTAATGCTTTTAAATAATTGGCCTCGAAATAAACTCTCGGCAGCAACTATATGGAAATGATTGATTCTGAAAAGTATTTGATCACAGCGGTTTCTGCACCCGTTTGTTCTACACAACCAATTTTTAAATATGCCAGTGAATATTGTCTGCGCTACTCCTGCCCGTACCATGCAGAAAACACATCCATGCAGTCATGCAGCGGGACGAATTAAGTGCAAGAACGTACCTCTTGGCTCGAAAAAGTCCGCTTAATTGAAAAAGCAGGATGCAACAAGAAACAGTCATTTACAAAAAGCTCGGTCATGGAAGAAACCCGTCCCAAAATCCAAAAGATAAACTCCGAGTTTCCTCTGCATACAATACAACACACGTAGGGGTACAGGACTAAGGGAATTTAACAAAATCTGTACTCAAAAAGTATTAAACTAAACACTACTGCAAAACCGAATATCCCAAGTCTCCTCCTACACAGAATGGTTCGCAAACGTTATTTCCATAAAGCGGTGGGTGTCTAGACAAATAAAATTTTAAAGCGTGGTCTACTTTATGTCACAGAAACCCAGCTGTTTTAGAATTACTCATAAAAACAGAAGGAAATATCACTTTTAGATTTTTAAAATTATTTTGTTCATTTAAGAGTTTTGAAAATCCACAGGGAAACATCCCAGGCGTTTTGTCCTCCATACTTACCACTGAACAGTTTGGACGCAGAAGCCGAACAGCAGCAGAAAACCAGCACAGCGCGCAACAGCCTCATAAAATCCATATCTTCATATTTTCCACCGTGCAGACCATCCGACTGATGTTTATATAAGCAGTGTTTGTTTATTTTATACTGGAAGTACCACGACGTCTCGTCCTTACTATTATTCAGTTTCCTGAGCAAGGAAATGATCGCGGAGGGACAGAGCACTGAAGTGTCGCCCCGTTATAAGTTAACATGCCTGCGGATGTCCAATCAGACGGGGATAAAGAGGAGGGGGAGGCAGGCGGCATTTCGGACCGTAAGACAGCGTCATCCATCTGAAGCAGAGCATATGCTGATCCGGAGGGACTGCACGTTTCTTTTCTAATCGATATGCTCAAAGAAGCGGTCATTTATAACGGGGGCTGCATACCCCAGCCTTGCGTGCTTTAAAATATTTTCTAAATAACTGTTTTCTAACCCCCTATGACCCTCTGCTGAATAAGTGGTTGGATGATGAATTAATATTCTGAACTATTCATGTAGCCTACCAACAATTAAACCTACTAGGCCACAGGAACTCTAATATTTTTTATTAAGTTTAAAGCAAAATATTTAATGTTTACAGTTTGTCGTAATATGTACAATTAAGTATTATGGTTATGTATAATTGTTGAATTAAGCACACATTTGATGCGTAAAACATAGCAATACCAATGCAACTGTACAGCGTAATGTGTTAGCTACAGATTATATTTCCATGGCTACATTTTACACCACTTTAATAACACTTGCAATAGTTCCTAAGGTGTTTATGTGAAATTTTAATTGCGTCAGGTTGGTCAACTTTCAACCCTAAATGCGTCAAACGAAATTGATATTTTAGCGTTTAATTGCACGCGTATCATTATGAATAATCGACTTTACATATATATTTCAACTAATACATTTTTTCCTGTAATTTAAATATGTATTTTCGCTGTCTTCGGTGATGATTTAGGCTCCACATAGGTTACTTCAAAAATGGCGACAACAATGTTTTCTTTTTGCTCCGAAACAGTTTATTCACTTCGTGGGCATGTAGAGCAGGGGACCCAGTGAGTCAGACTTGCTGACATGTGACAGTCGTTCATGTCTCCTCGGTGACAGCAGCCATTAGATCAAACGTCGCACTTCCTCTGCATCCTGTCGTGACTGTTCTGATGGAGTTCTGATGTCGGACCTGTCACAACACGAAAATGCTCCGAAAAGATATCTCTCTGGCTGTAGTCGGATCAAACCCGCCGCCCCATCCACTTTCCGCTTCCTTCGGGATTGGACAATCTTTACTACGCGATGCCTGCACATTAATTAATTGTATGTCAGTAAGGGCGCTTTTAGTCTTAAGGCAAACATATAGGCTAATAATAACAAATAAAATAAAAATGTACCTGGCATTCCCACTGACTGCGTCCAAAAACCGACATGTCAGTGGCAAACATACATTAATAAAACGCGCATTAATATTGTGTCAGTCAGCAGTTAACTCGCAGATGTGATTTGTGCCGCGTCTCGCAGGAAATTCAAAGGGAGCATTAAATAATTCTCAGTGACTTCCAATGACTGATGAAAAGGCCCCTGTAATGAAACTGAATTAGCCATCCCGTACTATAATCGACGTGGACACCATTTAATACAACAGAGCAGAAAATCAATGGCCTTTAAACTGAGCTGGCTTTGGCCCACCAGCACGGCAGTTTATTGCGCTCTTCTGGGGGAGCCGTAGTGGGGATGGCCTCTTCATTAGACAGAAACGCTGCTATTGACTCGGGTGGCGCTGTGCTACATGCGCTGCTAAACCACCCGATCTATTCAAAGTTCATTAGCCGCGCCGCAGCACTCGTTAAAATGCATGGGCGTGCAGACAGACGGACGCCTTGTTTAAAGCGCGCTCCGTCCCCGTTTCCTGTAGCAGAAAGCTGCACGGTCACCCAGGCCATTTCGACTAAATAAGATTTTCATTAAATCCCCACCCCTCCTCCCACAGATCGCGGGAGAAAAAAAATATTCATGGAAAAATAATTAGATGCATCTTTCCAATTACTTGTGAAATCTGGCCGGTTGTACCCCATCAATTTGGAAACGCCGGATGAATTCAGCGTTGTAGAAGAAGGTTAGTAAACTTGCTAATGCTGATACACAGCCACACACACACATACACACACAGAAGAAAGAGAGAGAGAGAGAGAGAGAGAGAGAGAGAGAGAGAGAGAGAATCCATCTCAAGATGTAGCTTCTTGACTGTATTTCACAAGCCTCTTAGATACATTCTAGGGTATGTTCATCCCTAAACCATTCTATTACAATGTATAGCAATCTAATATCAGTTTATTCCAGCACTATTCAGCTGTGGTAAATGGACAATCCATTAAAAAAATGACATGCAATTCCAATTCATAAACTATGTATATGTGTATAAACTGTATGTCATAACTACAATGTAAAATAATGTAACCCCACATAAGACTGTGTATACAATTGCAATGTAATGAGGATATAATGTATAATAGGTCTTGTATTTTTCTCTCACGAAGCAAATACGTAGATCCAAGCACACTTGCACGTCCTTACACGAACACTCACTCTTCCTGTACACAAACAAACAGATGTGTTTGCAAAAATATCATCCTTCCTCTACCAGGAAGCTATGGGAAGCCATCTTTGAGTCTATTTCCTGAATCCTCAGAGATTTACTCCAGCGTTATCAGCAAAATAATCGTGGGCACGCTTTCTATAGCTGTAAATCACGGCCCATTCTAGGGTTACTGCTCACTTTTGAAAGGATCAATACAAACTGTCCACCCACTGTACAAAGCAATCTCCTCCATTTCAAATTGGGGCTTGTGACACACTTTCAGCAAATCTCGTCCTGACTACACTATGGTGCTTGATAAATCGTAAAACTATTGAAATATCAACATCACCCATGTCATGCTAAGTGACATTCATTCCCTAAGAGTGAGAAGAAAATATCTGAAATGTAGTATTGGATGCAAGGAATTATTAAACTCTTATTTAAAACGTGGAAAAATCAAACTTCTGGCCTTAAAAAATGTTTGAAAGAAAAGTAAACACCTTACCTTTCATGCTTGTCACATTTCCTTGGCTTATATGGCAAGGATATCGTCTCTTTCTGTTTGCAAATAACAACAGAACATGAGCAAGTGTGTTTGAGCACTGCAGCTCAGAATCCGAGGCCCGCAGTGAAACAGAAACTCAACCTTTCACTATAAGTGCTAAATGAGGCACCGAGCAGGCGTCTCCACTGAAGCCCTGCATACAGCAAACATCACAGCAGGGCGATGTAGATGGGCACCTACACAAAGTAAAGGCAGGACCACAGTCACTTTCACTCTGGTCTGACTCAAACTGACCAATGGCAGGGCAACATAAAATACTAGCATAGGAGTGGTTCCAGGTTAAGGTTTCTTGAAGTAACAAAAATAATAATTATTATTGATACTTTATCAATCCGTGTGGGGGAATTTCTCTGTATGCCTCTCTGCGGGTGAGAGCAAGCTGGCCAGGAAAAAGACAGCCACCCATAGCAGCGCCTAGGGAGCTGGGGGGGGGGGTGAAGCGCCTCTCTGAAGGATCTGCAGATGTGCCAGGGCTGGGCTCAAAGTGGGGACCTTCCGATCACAGGCAGACTTATCCCACTGAGCCACACGCTGCCCCACCAAATAATATCAAAATAAACACCAGATCAATGCATAGATACACTTTATTAATCTCAGAGGGAAATTCTTTACTATAGGTATAGAATATAGAGTCCTCTTCGTGATTTTCCATTTCCTTTAAAATCACTCCAGCTCACAGTTTTGAGAATCACTATAGATTCGCATAGCACCCCCCCCCCCCGCCCCCCCCCCCCGGGCTAACATTCCCAGAAAAGAGCTGAGACCCAGAGGAAAAACTGCTGAGGGTTTAAGAGAGGGCCCTAATGGATAGGAGTTAAATAAAACGCTTGGCAGCCCAAGGGGGAGGCAGGGCTGCGTTTCTTTCCATTATCGCTGGTACGAGTCTGTTAGCAGGGACTGGGTTGTAGTTCAACCAACTTTCCCCCGGTCCTCATTGCGGTAAGTGCAGGAAAAAAAACCTTCCATTATTTTAAGTTATTTTCCGGGACGCTTTACCTTAATCCGGTCCTCTCTTTGTTTTTTCAGAAGTGCGATGATGTCCTGCCTCTTTTTTGCCTGAAAACACACAGCGGGATGGGAAGGCGAGACTGAACATCAGAGAAATAGACCCTGTAGACTTCTTAAGAAGCTTAGTGCTTCCAGCTTATTGTGGTCATGGGTGCCTCTGCTCCAGTTGAGCCCATAGGAGTCTCCCCTGGGCTGCGAGGACCCAGTGCACCAGCCCAGTGGCAGCAATCTCGAAACGAGCCTCGTTACTTTGATTTAGCACAGAGCCCGTGGGCCACAGACTGAGGCGGCGTGACAGCCGGTGTTTAATGTTGCTTGATTAATCCATTACGAATATGGGATGTGTCATTTGTCTAGCACTGGCACTGCACGGCAAGCAAGTTCGCCTTGTAATCTTGTTATTATGACAACGTACGGCGCCTTCTAACAAGTCACTATATCCCCATTTCAATAAAAAACCATGCCATGCTTTACTGAGATATTTCCTCCAAGTACCAAGTCTCACATTCCCATATTATTCTGAAATAAAAATAATATACAGAAGCCACCCCTATAACCTAGGAAGAAACCATATTTCATTGACAGCATTAAGTTTATCTATCTATCTATCTATCTATCTATCTATCTATCTATCTATCTATCTATCT